CTAGTATTAACCTTGTTGTTCAGAAACATAACATACTTTGTTTCACTTTGCTGTCTCCCCCATTTTCTAGTATTTGGCAAAGAGTCTGGGTCTGGATTCAGTTGACTTTGGCTACCTTCAGACAATCTTTGGTGTGCTCCAACTTCTGGGAGGTCCTGTTTTTGGAAGGTAACCCCTCATGACCCCTTCATTTGCATGCATGATCAGATTTTTTTTTAATAAATATACTTTTATTTCTAGTTCAAGTTCTTGGGGAAATATGTTTTTGAGGAGCCATCTGGGCTATAGAAAATAAGTCTATAATTAAAAAAATATTGTGACAGTTAGCCAGATCATTTATCTCTAATTTTGATTATTATTTAAACTCAGACAGCAGGCTTACTAAGGACAAAAAGGCTGGAGCATCTCTTCCCCACAGAGCTTGCAATTTAATGCCTTAATCCTGCAAACATTTACAAATGTGAGTAACTTGATATATGTCAGCAGGGTGGGGAAACCCAGAAGAAGACAGTAATATGGCATTTTTTTAGTATTATCTAAGTAAAGCTATTTGATACTCCTCATGGGAATCATAGGATTTCCGTGCCTGGCTCTGACCTTATTCACACTGGCTTTGCATGATCTCAGTGCAGCTGACATCAGCAGAGTTGCTCCTGACTTATGCTGATGTCAGCAAGATACAGTTTAGTACCTCTTTGTTGAAGGTCTGTCTATACCACTTCTGGAGCAAGCCCAGCAACACCACAGGAAACAAGCCTCACCCAAACCCACGTATCAAGCAGCATTAGCAGCTTAGAGCATCTCAGTTTCAACCACTACTTTGTGTCCAGGCTCCTGAGGCAGGGGAAAATAGTCCTTCTCCCTCTTCTTTATGGCAGCCCCACATCTGAAATTTTTTTATCATATTCTCCCTCTTCACTCCACTTCATCTTCTTTTCTCCCAACTAGATGTACCTAGCTCTCTTAACCTTTTCTTGTATAGTGCTATAGTGCAGCATCCTATATACTGGGGGCACCTACACCTGCAATTAATGTGAAACAATAAATTCTGAAGCAGTTTGAGCCAAAGTAAATTACTCCTGGGCACAGCATCTACACGTGCACCTGGGGCAGAAGCAATTTGAGCCAGGACAAAACAGGCCCAGCCTGGCAGGAGTCATGGGGGGGTCACAAAACAGGCCCAGCCTGGCAGGAGGCATGGGGGGTCAGCCCCAGGCTCTGGGTGGTGGCATTGGGTGGCAGAGGGGCTGGCTGGGGCACACGGGTGCTAAAAGTGCACAGCTGTGCGGCTAGGCAGTAGGCAGGAGTCCGGCCCCCAGCTGGCTGGGCAGACCTAGCACAATTTACACCCATAGTCAGCATTTACACATGTGTTTAATCTCAGTAAATTATCCCAGCATAAGATAGTACTGTCTCTAACTGTCCCTGGCAGTCTCACTCTCATTCTCTGCTTCTGAATTCTAGTGTTCTACCTGGACAGTCATCAAGCCAAGAGCATGTTGCATATCAGATTAGACAACCACATCCTTCCCCATGAGCACACTTCAACCCACCTAGGAGTCACATTTAAACCATTCCCTTATTTAGAAACATCACATTCAAAAGGTCAACAATAAAGTCTCTACACAGGTAGCTATCTTAGCCAGCACAACATGGGGTGCCAACTTTAAAGTGCTCAGAACCACTGTACTTGTGATGGTCCAACATAATATGTCCCAACAGAATATTGTGCTCCTGTTGGGTCCAGAAGTTGTCACACTAAAAAGCGGTAGTAACAGTGCTCTGAGACTTATAACAGGTTGCACAACTTACACACTTATAGATGTTCTCCCTGTACTCTCAGCCATTAGACAGTGATATAGGAAGACAGACCCTAACATCATAACTGGCAATAGAAACAAGAGACGATGAAAATCACCTACGCCATCAACTGTTAACTGAAGGCCTAAATAGATGGAGGCTTAAAAGTCATAAAACATTTGTAGACAAAGCCCCCAAGCTCCTGGAAGAGATTGGGGATGCTGAAACAAACCTATGGACAGCAACAGGGTGTGCCAACTGCTGGGAAAGTCAGGTCTATTCCAACGGTGTTTTATACCAACACCAACCCTCATGGGGCACAACCTTGACAGTGAAGTGTGGGTCAAGCTGAACAGGCTGAGATCTGGATATGGATGCCTCAGAACAACACTTCACAAGACGAACATCTTGGACAGCCCCCTGTGTGCACGTGGTGTCCAACAAACAGCACAGCAATTAATTGAAAGCTGCAATCTTTCCAAATGTCCAGATGGGGCGGATGGAATCTGCACATTGAGTGATAATACCAGACAGTGGCTCATAGGTCTGGAAGTTGATATTTGACACCATGTGAAAAAGACGAAACCACCATAAGTACTCTCTAAACATTTTAAAGATAAGCCACTCAGAAGGAGGTTTATCTTAGAAACATTTTACCCTTGCCATTCCAGGGTATTGTTTGAATGGTCCCAGCTTGGAGTGACCGGGTCAGTTTCAGCCCAAGCACAGAGCCCCAGAGAAGCAGATTTGGGCTGAAACTGACCCAGCTGCATGGAGAGCTGCTTAACAGCTGCAGGACCCTGGAGCTGGGGAAAACATGCTTTCCCCACCCTGGCCAGGGCAGCTCCTATATATCCATCCATGGACATGGAGGCTAGACTCCCAGCCAGCATGACCCCTGATGCCCCTAACCCCACTCCCCCCTCTAACCCAATCCCAATTCACTGAGATGCATGCAAGATTTTAGTCCTTTAAAAAAAAATCTTTTCTTCACTTCTTTCTCTTTATTTCCATCCCGCCCCCTCCCCACCCTTCAGTTTTCCAGTGTGTCTCTCTTTTCACCCTCCTCTCTTGCTGGGGTCCTGCTGGCTGTAGAGGTAGGCAAGCCCTTCCTCCCCCACCCCAGCTTACAGACTGGTTTCTCTGTCTCCCAGCTATAAGCCACCTTCCCCAACAGCGTAGAGTCCTAGCTTCTGTCCACTCCCCTGCTCTCCAGCCCTCTAGTGGCAAGTCACAGTCACACAGGTCTGAAAAGCCAGGCTCTACCTGAGACTGCTCCAAAAATGCCACAATTTTATGACATCATAATATTGCACAGATTTCTGATGTTATACAGGCAACCTGAGCCAAAGGCCTAATATAGTAGGACTGCATTGGGTAACATGTTCTAATAGCATGCTAGTAAATCCTAGGCTAGACAGTGCATCAGGCTTCTCACAAGGCAATATTTTTCAAGTGCTCAGCATACACAATCATAGACATGGTTTTGGAAATCCTCAGCACCCATCACGGTGAGCTCCTTTTGAAAACCTGACTCCAGTTTTGGGTGCTGAGCACTTCTGAAAATTTGAGCAGCATTCCTCAGGGAAGGGAAGAGAGAGAGGAGTATATGTCCATGTGTAGAGTTGGCTGGAATAACAGTACAGTGTTGCCAGGCTGGGCATATTAATTTTGTAACTGCCAAATAGTTCCACTTCTGAATTTGCTGCATAATTTTCCATCCCAGGTTTGCTGACCGGTTTGGTGCTCGGGCTGCATTAACGCTTTCATCCTTCGCTGGATTTGTCTTATTCCTGCTGCTGTCTGTCTCCACCAGCACCCCACTTCTCTTTCTGTCCAGAATTCCAGCCATATTCATGCATGGGCTTCCAGGTAATACTAACCTGTGTTCCTAAAGCTACTTGTTTTCATTTTCCTCCTAGGAAATAAGTTTTACCCCCCCTCCCCCTTCAACATATCCCCTTCCTCTGCAGGCTGATACATAGACATGACCCTCCCCTTTCCTCTTCTCTTTTTTTTCCCACCTAGGCCCTCTCTAAAGGAGAAGCTTACAAGCTATTCTGCTGCCTACCTACTTGACTCATCCTTTAAAGAGTGTAGCCTTTCCAACCCACTCCTTCATGATACCTGAGCTGCTGTGCTTCATCTTAGCCTTCTTGTCAAGGAGAAGAGAGTACTTGGACAAGTCTACTCTTTTTCTCTCCCCATATGGGCTGGAAAGAGAAGTCAGAAGTTCCCAGGCTGCACTTAGTGACACTTGCTGTAGTTAAATGCGTCTTTCCAAGCCCTGATTTTATTATGGAATTATGAACTGTGTCTTTTAATTCATTCAAATGAATAACCATAATCAATAAAATAAACCCTGGGGGGAGGGGCTTTGAGTGAAGTGCAGCTATTTCAGGCTTCTCAGCTGCATTCACTCAATCAGGAGCTTCCCCAGGGTAACTTATTTTGCAACATGTAGCCGTAAGCTACTCAACTTGTTGCTCTTCATCATAAATAAGCAGTTGGACACATACTGCACATGAGTTAGAGTGCCATCGTTATCCTCCATTTCACTCTGTTTGGCTCCAGCTGTTACTTGACTTTTTTCTAATAAAAACCAACGCACCAAACCCCCAGCTGGAGCACATGTGCACATGCACCACCAGCAGTGTGGAGAGGGGGACATGAACAAAGACTTACCTTCTAACATGAGTTACATTATACTGGTCTAAAAGATTGGGTGGTAAATTCTGCAAGTAGCTGATTTGTAAAAGGTTCTTGTGCCTCTCCTGGCTAATAGACTTGTCAGTTGGTCCTTTAGCTTAAGCAGTAAAAACTTGGGCTCTCTGATCAAGAGGTTCTTGGGTTTGGCTCCCAACCCATGGCCCTCGCATGAGGATCTGGCTCAGTGTTTCAGCTGATGTGTATTGCAAGAAGTGGTTCCTGCCAGCGCTCTGTCCCTTGCATTAGTGAAAGACCTTCTCAAAGAGCATGTTCCCTGATCAGAAGCTATGTTTTTTCAGTGGAATGTTTCTCATCAACTATTTCTTTTGGTACCTTCTGTAGGTGCCCAGATGGTCGTTACAGATCTGACTCCTCCTCCTCAGCGTGCAGAGGCATTAGGGAAGCTTGGCCTCTGTTTTGGGGTAGGAATGATCATTGGATCCTCACTGGGTGGAACTCTTGCCACAAAATTTGGGTGAGTGATCAAGCTGTGCACTGACTTCTTTCCTGTGGTGAAAACAGTTGGCTGAAGGATGTGGTTTTTGTTCTCTCCAGCATTTGAAAATGTCAGTGTTTTAACTCCTTCCTTGCTCTTCAGAGCATGCTTTGCCATTTTTGGCTGATGGTGACTGATCCTGTGACCAAATCAGCCCATTGCATGAATTCAACCTACCACAAATTTGCACTCCAATTCACTGGCCAGGGAGTGACAGACTTAATTGCATTGCAAATTTGTCCTTGGTCTCACTGGAATGCTGTCTGCTTCCAGTTGGCCCTAACTGGGAATTTACACTTGGTCATGGGCTGAGGAATTGCTCAGCTTCTTTAAGTCTACTTGTGCCATGCTGCAGACACACAAGGATCCTAGATGAATTTGGGCCCCTGGTCATTTGGGCCATGACATGTAAGTATTTTCACCCTTAAATAAGCATAATAGACAATCCCTGTTTCTTCAAGCTGAGCTCATATCTGTGTCTAAAGTGGTTTAAAAGCAGCCATAATTATAAAGCTAAATTAAAAGCTCCAAGGATCCAAGTCTAGGCTCTAGTCCAGATAGTATCCCAATTCCCTTCGCAACTGGAAATGGAAGGTGCTGTGGAACAGCTCGGCACTGGTATTAACTGCTGTTCAGAGGTGTATCAGGGCAGGTCTGCACCCGGGGCAGCTGCCAACACCTGGGGTAGTGTTGGCTCCTGCTATGTCAGTTGTGGCAGAGCAGTGAGCTGGCAGTGCTTTTGTGCTTGCCCTCACAAAGGCAGCACTTGGGGCTGCTGCCTTGGTCATGCCCTATCAGGCACACTACTGCTGCTACTTTGAAACATGGATCCAGCTTGAAATCAAGCAGTGTGTAGCTCACAGGACATTGGGGTTTAAGGAATGTTCAGTGTAGAATGGGACAAGAGGGAAAAGTTGATGGGGCAGATGGGTGGGGGTGGAGATGGACAAATGAGGCTGTCTGACCCCACCAAAACCAGGATGAATGAGCCAAGCATTAACTTGCCAAGTATAGTCATTCCCTGGATGCTTTCTAGAGCTTTGGGGAAACATAAGGGGCTGTTTTCCTCTTTGCTTGAGCCTCTGCACGTGCTGCAAGAGAAATGAAAATCCTGATTTTATTGAGTTTGGTCTCAGTTCAGTTCCCAGCATGCAATAAAATCAGCATAACATGTGCAGTATGTCAGAGAGGGATTTTATACCCTGGTTCAAGCAAACACATAGTCGTGACCTTCCTGGAAGAAATGCCTTTATTTCTGTGATTGTTAGCTAAATGTGAGTGAAAGGGCATTTATTCTGTCCTTTTTACCTTTCCTTGGTATTTTGACCCCAAAATTTTAGATGAGTTGGGAATGACCTCAGCTCTTTAAAACTTGCAAATCGTACGATGGTGCCAAACTTCCTGCTGAAGATAGGTTTACAGCACATCACTTCATTGTGCTGATAAGCCCAAAGAGGCTATTTAGGCAGGAAAAAATAGGAGAACACTTTAAACTGACATATGCTGGATTTTAATAAAATCTCAGAGAAATGGACAGGGAAACTAAAGTATTGGTAGGTAGCTAATGATGTCAAGTGGTGGAAAAGGGTTTAGAGACAAGTGACTATCAGAGAAAAGTTTTGTCAGTCTCCAGCGTTCTGAGTCCCCATTGTCTCTTGGAGATCGAGATTTGTTGAGTAGTTAGAACAGTTCATGTTTTCCTGATCAGACTTCAGCATGCAAGTGTCATCTCTTTGATTTTTGGTCTTTTGTCATATTCAGGCAAGTCAGCTTCTTTGCAAGGATTGCCACCTGAGTTCTATAGTAACAGTATCTTTATACATGCCTTAAAATGGATTATGCTATACAGCACCTAACATCGGGATGTCCTGAACTCTGACGAGGAGCTGTGGCAGTACAAACAATAAATAAGAAGCAGTGCAAAGCTTTTCACATTGTGGGAGATTCATGTCACCAGCCACAGTATTAAGTCAGGATGGTCTGTCTACCATAGCCATGGGGAGATGAAGGAAGATAGGAGTGAAAACACTTTTTCAAAATACATGGGGGTTAGTACTTTATTAGACAATAAAATTGATATAGATCAGGTCTCCCAAGTGTTCAGTGTCACAGCTTTTTCCCAAGTTTGTCTAGAGATAGAGAAGAAGAGACGTCCAGTGATTAGGGCCCAAGCCTAGGAGCTTATATTGATTTCCTACCTCTGTCACAGACATGAACAACTGGTGTCTCCCGAGACTGGTGAAGCACCATGGTAGCTACCGGGGATCTCCCACAGGTGCTGGCGGTAGTGGCGGTGAGCGGGGACTGCCCGCAGATGCTGGCGGCGGTGTCAGCGGGAAGGGAGGGGGTGGCAAACAACGACCCCCTGCAGACGCCGGCGGCAATTTTTTGGGGGGGGGTTAGGGTTAGGGTTAGGGTTAGGGTTAGGGTTAGGGTTAGGGTTAGGGTTAGGGTTAGGGTTAGGGTTAGGGTTAGGGTTAGGGTTAGGGTTAGGG